TGTAGGCCGACTGACAAAGTCCGCATATTTTCTACCAGCAAAGACGATAGATTCCGCAGAGTAGTATGCGCAGTTGTACATCAAAGAAATAGTCTGATTGCATGGTACTCCAGTTTCAATCATATCTGACAGAGGCCCTCAGTTCACAACGCACTTTTGGCAGGCATTTCAGAAAAGTTTAGGTACCAAGGTCGATTTGAGCACCGCTTTCCCTCCACAGACCGATGGTCAGGCAGAAAGGACCATTCTGACTCTCAAAGATATGTTGCGAGCATGTGTTACAGATTTTGGAGGTAATTGTTATGATCACTTGCCACTTATAGAATTTGCTTACAATAACAGCTATCAGTCCAGCATTGTTATGGCTCCTTATGAAGCGCTGTATGGGAGAAGATGTAGGTCTCTAGTGGGTTGGTTTGAACCAGAAGAGGTGCCATTGATTGGTCCAGAGTTTGTTTGTGAGGCCTTAGAGAAAGTCCAGCTAATCAGAGAAAGACTGAAAGTGGCTCAGAGTCGTCAAAAGTCCTATTCTAACAAGAGGCATCGTGACTTAGAGTTCATGGTTGGTGACAAGGTGTTTTTGAAAGTTTCACCAATGAAAGGAGTTATGAGGTTTGGTAAGAAAGAGAAACTTAGTCCTAGATTTATTGGACATTATGAGATTATAGAAAAGAAGGAAACGTGGCTTATGAGCTAGCGTTGCCCATTGAGTTGTCCTCTGTTCATCCTGTCTTTCATGTGTCTATGCTTAGAAAGTACATTCACGTTGAGTCGCATATAATACCTGCCGATACCATAAATTAAAGAAAGCTTGACTTATGATGAACTACACGTAAGAAAGTTGAGAACAAAAGATATAGCATCGGTAAAAGTTTTATGGAGTAATCATGATTCAAAAGAGGCTACGTGGGAGGTCGAGGAAGATATGAGGAAGAAATATCCATATTTATTTGAGGAAAAAGGTATATGAACCTAGGTTTGGTTTGGAATTTATACTTTATTTATTAAATACAAGTAGCACGTGTTTATGTCCTTCCTAGATTATAATTAGTTATTGTAGTAATTTAGTTTATGCCAGAGTATATTTAATTCATTAAAGTGATTTACTTTTGCTAAAGTGTTATGCTTTAGATTCTTGTTAGTTATTGCGGTACCTCCTTGCCGGAGTGTGACTAATTAATTTATGAGCTGTGTATGGTGCCTATGAATGCCCTGTTATGGTATATTTGGTTGTTGTTGGTGTAGTTGTGGTATTTGTGATAGGGATATTTTTTTGGATAGTCCAATTTACAAGGGAAACTCTGCCGAAATTTTTGAAAATTTAGGGAGTTAGCCAAAACTTCGAGTCCCTTGGGAAAGTGAGTAGTAGTGCTAAGAAATTTAAGAAGTTCAGGACCTACGGAATAATTGTTAGCTTACGAATAAGGCCCTAGCAACATTCGAGGACGAATGTTTTTAAGGAGGGAAGATTGTAACACTCTTCAAATCTATAAAAGTTTCAAGACACGCTAAATATAGAATTTTTTTTAATCTTAAATTATACTTCTATTACGGATTTAAACCTCTATGATTGATTTTTGAGTTACTTTTCTATTTATAAAGAATTGGATATACAATTAGGGTAATGTTAATAATTTTAATATTATTAATTATTAAAAGTGGGTATCATTAATTATTAGTTGAGTTAATTTTTTTTAAAAAGGGGGGGGGGGGGGGCGGGGGTATGCTAAAGCCCATATAATGGGTTGTTGGAAAACAAAGGCTTCAAGCCTTAAGCAAAACACTGTCATTCACGTAAAAGGCAGAAGGCCAAAGCCTTGGACGAAAAACAGAACACTAGTTCTGTTCGCTTACGAAACAGAGAGCCACGAAACAGAGCTGCTTACTCACGCAGACAACGGAAAATTCTAGGGTTCTTTACAAACTACTAATTCTTGAACTCAGATATATAAAATTCCCTATTGTTAATTATCCTACAGTGGTAATAGGTAAGAATTGAATAGTTAATTTCTTTTTTTCTCTGTATCAACAGTAAATTTCATGTTTAGGTGAGAAACCTTTAAAATTGATTAAAATACGCTGGTTGTTGTAGAATCGATTGTTTAATTGGTGTCAATTGGAGTGGGGCCTACGTATTGACTCGAGAAGTTTTGAGGTGAGTTGATATAACCCTTTACCAAAGTTGTTTAACTCACAAAAGCATGCATACAAGGTGTTTGATGAATTGTCTAAAAGAGTTAATATGTACTTAATTGAAGTGAGTGAGTACCTGTTAGCATAGAACTATTTTAGTTAAAGTTTAGATGATTTATTCTGATATATGTGCTTAAATTTTCAGATTTTTGTGTAATACTTATAGGCCATTTTCATGTTGAAAAGAAAAATTTCATTAAGAAGCAAGAATCTTTAGAAATACTTTTGAATGTTTATTTCATTCTTATGACATCCCTTACATTTAAGGATTCCAGTATGAGTGTGTTTAAAAGATTTAAACTTGAAAAGTCACAAGAAGAAGTTTTAGAAAGAAAAGATTTTTGTGAGTATCCTTTATTCCGAGAAGGGGTCATCGTCAAGGCCGAGGGTCCTGACCAAGGCGTTGACTTCCTGAAACTACTTGTGCAAAAGTAGGGAGCACACGAGCCGAGGGTCTCGTTGTTGAGAATTTGCTTAGCAATGCTAAGGTATGATACATGAGCGCTGAGAACCATGAAGCGAGTCGCACCTCGTGGATTGGGCTTGTGCCTATCACACGGTGACTAAGACAGAAATAGGTCAGGATAGTTGGAACTCCCAAAGTATAAAGTGAAGTATTTATTTTTATAAGAAAGAAAAAGAAAAGAATTTCTTTTAGAATATTCATAAAATGCTATTTTGCAATTTTTTTCGAATTGTCTTATAAGCCTTTTGTTTTATATGCATTTAGAATCTTTGCTCGTAATGTATATGTTATTAAAGTTTCGTCCCCTGTTGTTGAGACTCACCGAGTACAATGGATGGTACTCACGTTCTCTTTTGGGAACCTACGTTGGTCTGCGGTACAACGTAGGAACCGATTTTGCAGGCGAGCAGGCTACTGGTTAGGACTTCCCTCTATTCCAATGCTATTGGCGAGCTCCGCTTTTGTTCGTGGAGTACTCCTTTGAGTCATCATTCTTTAGCTATTTCTTTGTTTACTTAGAGATTTGGCCAGGAAATCTCATGTCCTGAGCAGTGTGTCAGCTTATCAGTAGAGGCTTCATAGACACAGTCGGTGGGTTAAGATTCAGATGTTTTTGATAATAAATTAGCAGTATTTCATTGGTTACTACAAATAAAATTTTGGAATTGATTTATTTTAGATATTTAAATTAATTAAAAGTATTTGGTTGCAGTATTGCCTTCTAGCATATAAAGTTTGAAGTTATAATATATTTGATAAGGGCACATGGTTCACTCGGTCATGTTTAGTGATCGGGTGCCGGTCCCGACTTGTTTAGAAAGTGGGTTGTGACAAAATAAACCGTTTAATTATTTAGTATTGAGATAATACAACATCGTAATATTCATATGTGTATTCACTCACACGTTTTAATCTTAATATACATATTAATATTTAGTTATATATTCAGATTGAGACGTATTAATATTAATAAAAACAAATGAGGCCTAAAATCCAACTAATTTTAATTTGCGCCCATAGAATCAATTAAAGGGGATAATATTTTCTATCATTTTTTATTTCCATAATTTAAAATTTCTTCATTTGCAAGACTCACTACAACAAATGTAATATTTAGCTACGAAATTAATAGCTACGACACAAAAATTGTCACTAATTGTTCACTTTTCGTGACAAAAATTATATTTCATGTCTGAATACATGAGCCATATACTTTTAGCGACGAAACACAAAATTTCGTAGCAAAGTTTTGTCCACTAAAATTTCCCACCAAAAAATGAGTTGGCGCCATCTACTAGGGAATATTTAGTGACAAATATAACATTATTGGTGACGAAATAATTTTGTCATTGATGTTGGATACTATTTGTGACAAAATAGTTTTTGTCCTAATAAATACTTAAATTTAAATACGAAAAAGTTTCGTCGCAAAAAAAAATTATTAAATAGCGACAATTAAAAATTTGTAGCTAAATAATGTGAACTTTAGCTACAAAATATTATACTTATTTGTGACCATAAAGTTTTTTGTCACTAATAATGTAAACAATTTATGACGAACTTTGTGTGGTCCCTATATAATACTTAATTTAGCCTCGATGAGGTTTTGTCTCAAATAGTGTAGCGTCTAGCTACAACTAAAAATTCGTCAGAAGTCAGTCATTTTTTGTGATAAATATTGAATTTCATATCTGGATATACCAATTTAGGGATGATATTCGAATCTTATAATAAACTTTTTCTAATAAGATTTCTCACCCCAAAAAAAAATATTCAACACCATTTACGGGATATACTATTTAGCTAAAAAAATAAAAATTGTTGATCTTGTGTACGATTTGTGACGAAACTAAAACTATTTGTCTCAAATTGTTAAAATTATATTCAACAAAAGGTTACTAACCAAAAAATGGTTCTTAAAATAATGATAATTAGAATTTGCAGTTAAATTGTGCAAATTTTAGCCATGAAAAATTTTGTACTTATTTGTGACTCTAATTTTTGTCCTTATTTATCTTAACATATAAGGGGAATGACTACAGTATTTCATAGAAATATATAATTTAATATCCAAAGATTATCCTAACACTAAAATATGAAAAAATTTTACCCATAAGTTTTTTTCTTGTTGCCATATTTTGTGGGTATTATAATAAATACTACAAAATATTAAATAAGTTGGCAATAGTATATTTTCATTGTTACCAAAAAAAATTATTGTTGGCGAGACATCTAATTTTCTCAACTACTTGTTTGGGTTATGGCAAAACTAATTTGATTATGTTTTAATTTTTTTCACGAAAAAGCTTAGGCGGCAAAATTTCCCTCTTTTTTGGCCTAACCCCTCCCTCTTTTGTTCCAACCCCTTCATAAATTTCACCAAACACTTCAGAGCTGCTAAGTAGGAAGAAAACATACTCGGCCTTCCCTCAATCCTAGTTAGGGTTTGAAATGGTAAGCTTCTTCCTCTCTCTAAAAGTTATTTCAAGCTTAGGGCTTTAATTTCTCATGTAAACATATTTTCCTTCAAGCGAGTATCCACAAGCACACTATTTCATTCTACTTTCATCAATATTTCTAATATATTATTCTCTTGACTAGTTATCTTGTTCCATAAAATTCTTTCAATGCTCCAGTTACAGGGTTACAATTCCATTAAAGCAAAAATTAGGGCTTGAAACTCTAAGCTAGTTTTATTTAAGTTTCAGTTGTTCTCATAGTAGGTCACATTTTGATGAATAGCTAGATCTGTCCTAGTTTTCGTGTATGTCCTTTTCCTTTTCAAGTTGTTATTAGACAAGTATTTGAGTATGGATGTAATCCCTCTGTTTGCATAGGCAATACGAGTTTCTGTATACTAGAGTAGTGTTTGGAGGTTGATTGCTCTGTTTTCAAGTTGGTCTTTGCTCTTTGATCGTGTTTAGTTGTATTTTATACCCTCTAGTTTCATCTTCAAATGACAAATTTTCCGGGAAGAGAAAGGATTTAGAGATAAGCTCTATCTATGAGCTTGGAGAATTCATGTTCGTATTCATATAGAAGTTGATCAAATTATTGTAGGAAAAGATATATAGGCAGTACATAATATTGGCCTTCGATTTATTGTTTGAAGTTTCTTTATTTCTTCGTTGCAAATTTATCAACATTTTTTGAAAGCTCTTTGGTGGACAATCTTAGTACTTTAGTTTAAGCAATGTGCTCTCCTAATTTTCTTATTTTTGGTAGAGATAATATTACAAAAATGCTTGCATCTTGTGTTGTGTATCATTATAAGTATAAAAATATACGTGCAACATCTATGCTAATATAGAAAAAGCTAAGCCGTGCATTCTTGGTAATTGAAAGCCATATTTTGCTTTCAATGGTCTCGTGTATGGTGATATGCATTTTTTAAGTTAATGTCATTGGGTGATGTATTCATCTGGTGTAGAGTTTTTTTTTTCCTACCTAATTCTTTGACTTTAGGCAACTTTTATTGAACTTGACAAGCTTCTGTTTTGGGACACAGATAAGTAAATGAAGTTCTTATTGTAGAGATGTAGACCTTCTGGCTCCTTTGTTCACCTTCTGTAGCTAATTTTAATGTATTTAAATTAAAGTCAATGGAGTCCAATTGAATTATCTGATAAAAAAATCTATATCCCACTCGGTAAAGCACTTTAGTATTGTTTATCTATCTGCCATCTCATTGTTTATCCGAAAGTTCCTTTATGTTTTTATGATTTCCAATATATATCTTATGATGCTTGTTTGTTGGACTAAGTTATGTTTTTCTTTTTGAATCTAAAAATAAGAGTAATTTATGAATGTTTCTTTCTTTGACAACCTACAGACAAATTGAGAATGAATATGAGCCTATGGAGTTGAAACTTGGTGCACCAACTGAAGCTTAATGGGCAGCTGAAGTGACTTTGGATCTTGGCACGGGTAAAAGCCACCTTACCATGGATATATTAATATTTCATTCCTTTTACTTCATCCCATTGAAATATATGTACGTACTAGGGATGCTTTCTTGGAATAGATACTTTGTAGCTAATTACTGTGTGAAGATATTTCTTCTTCAGCAAGAATATTTCTGCATAGTCTATCCTCGAGGTTTTCTTGTTGTATTAGCTTCCAACAAATGTATTTTCTTCAATACTTTGGGGGTCAACTACCACCTAATTTTTTCTACTCTCGAGTCAATCAGGTAGATTTAATACAACTTACTATTCTATAAATCATTATACAATATCCATGGTTGAAGGGTTGATTTGATTTTGTCAATACAACATTGTCGATTGAAGAGCATAACATTTCAATGGTGTCATGTGTAAATGAGTCAGCAAAGTAGACTTGAATTTTCACAAGTAGTTGCTTGCTAGTTTCTTGGATAGAAAGGGCTTTTGGTTGCTTAATCTGTGTTATTGCTTAATCACAGGTGTCTGTTATACAAGTGAATGACTTGTTTTTATAATATTTTAAAGGATTGTTTGATTTCTATTTTCTGAAACTTCTATCTTTTTTCTTGTCAATAAAATGAATGAATGAGGGTATAAACAATAACTAGATATGCTTTTTTAGTTCACAACAGATTTGATTGTAATGTGAGAAAATCTACATAAATTACCTTACATTTTGATAGTTAGTAATTACGAATATATTGACATAGTTTATGCTTCCTTGTACCGTTGTGAGCCTAGTCTGGTAAGGTTTTAGTCTAAAATAACTAGGGGCATTGCCATGTCTTAATACTTTCTCTTTTCGGTGCAAGATCTATTTACTAGCCATCATTTCTGCCTTGTATTTTTCTTCTGCAATTTATGTTCCTATTTTTCCTATGATTTCTATGGTGAAACTAATATTCTCTCCTTTTGTTTTTCTTATTATCTTGAGCCGAGGGTCTTTCGGAAACAGCCTCTCTACCCCTTCGGGGTAGGGGTAAGGTCTGCGTACATACTGCCCTCCCCAGACCCCACTTGTGGGATTATATTGGGTTGTTGTTGTTGTTGTTTATGCTTCCATGTAGAGTAGTTTGTGGATGTAAACTTTGTGATGATATACTAGGAATTGCTAAACTTTCACTTATGTTCAAGTTTGTAATGATAAAGTTCAGTTGTAATTTAGAAATTACTACTAATATATATGCTTCATATTTTTTTTACATTTTAAATAGTATTTTGAATTGATTTTTTTACAACTGAATGCAGATTTAATTGGAATCATGGAAGATTGTAGAAGAACTAGAAGAAAGGCCTTCAGAAATAAAGGAGTCTTTGGTAGAAACGTATTAGAGATCCCAGTTGGTAAATGGAGGCCAATCAAGGCAATTCCATCAACAAAGCTATCAAACGAGCTGGGAATACTTGCTCGAAAGTTTCTTTCGCTTCCAAACAAGTGGAAGGACCTCACAAAAGAGGAGAAAGATGCAACACTTATTAGATAATATATTACTTTTCAAGACAATTATATTTTTATTGTACAACATATTGGTTTGTCCTAAATGTGACAAAAATAGTCTGTCTCAGAATGGCCTTATCAATAATATACTATATTCTTTAATTACGAATTATCTTTGTATTTTTGACAATACCAATTGTCACTAATCATGATGATTTATAGTGACATTTTTGTTTTGTTGGTAAAACCAATATTTTTTATGACAGAATGACTTTTAGCTATAAAATAGTAAACCTTATTCATAAAAGTAAAACTGTCACTAATTGATACATTTAGGGACGAAATACTTTTTTCGTATATAAAAGGCATTCTTTAGTGACGAAATTGCGAATATTCAACTACGAAATATATAGAACTTCAAAGACAATTTATGTTGTCACTAATTAAACTAAATAATTAGTGACAAAGTATTTTTGTCGGCATTAATGATCTTTTCAGTGACGAAAATACAATATCAACTACGATTTTTTAATACTTTTTTTGACGAATAACTTCGTCGTAAATACTATCACTTTGGGGACGAAAAGTGATGTCGTGGTTAATATAACTCTATTTAGCGACGAAACACAAAGTTGTCTGCGTATACTATTGGAGACGGTGTTTTAGGGACGAAAGATTGACAAAAAAAATTTTGTCACAAAAAACATTTGTGACGAAATATGAATTTTAGGTGACAAAATAATTCATCACTGATAATCGAATTTGTTGTAGTGACTCTAATTTAAAATTTCTCATTAAACGTAGAGGATCTTGTCTACATAAGTGTCATTTTGCTTGTGTAAAGTAACATGAGTTGTGCGCCCTTCCTCTCATTTTTGACACTGCTTTTCTTAGTTAGTAGTAGTGTTATTTTTTTTTACAATGATACTGTTTGAACTAAACTTGCACAGGAAAGTGTTGAGTAATTTTGTCCAAAGTTGATGTGACGAAAATGCATAATATTTTATGTTTCTATAAAATTGAAACCTTGATGTCTCGTAATTTTTTTTTCAAATTTATTATCTGTTGGACGGTAGTCTACACCTTTGGGGTTTACCTTTTGAATTTTGTATCTTGAATAATTTTAAAATTTTAGTTGTACGACTACAAAAATTGTATGAGATTAGGATCATCCCAAGGTCAAGTTTTATTGAAAAATATTATACATCTCATCTCTCATAATTTCAAAATTTTATAAAATCATAACATATCTAAGGAACACAATATTATTAAAATTAAAAATTTGGAAAACAAGTCGTTCGAGATTATCTTAAAGAAATCAATTGATTATGTCATCTAAACTTAGAAATTTCAAAGAAATCACTGCCTGCTCTAATTTTTCTTAAATAATTTATTTTTATGTTTAGTAATTCTCTTTCCTTAATTAATGTCTAATACGGTACAACATATGAGTACACAAATTTCTTTTCATAGTTTTGAGTCTCATAAGACCTTTTGTACTTTAAATTCAATTGTTTACTGCCAAAAAGAGGCAATTGCACTCCTTAGATTTCCGAGTGCAAGTTCTGTCCATCTTTTAGGGGTCATTTGGTAGAATGTGTTAGATGGAAAATAATATATTGAATTAGAGCTTAATTTGGCAGGTAACTTTTACTTGAACGACTTTGTCCCTTCAGGTACGCATATGATTTTTTTTTAATTTTTTTTTTGTTTAAATAAAAAAGGAAAAGAGTAGGAATGAAGTTTTTTGGACAGATGAAAATGGTTTTACTTCTAGCATTCTATTAAAATGTTTTAAAACGTAAACGAATTAGTCACCTATTGCTTTCTCACTAAAAACATATTTTCATAAATTTCATCTAACATAACATTGCACTATATAATTAAATGTATTTGCAAAAAAATTAATTTAAAAAGAAAAATGAAGCTGAATGGATACAAAGTGTTTAAACAATTGATTCAAAGTAATTTAAAATTAAGGTATAATTAATTAGTTGATAATTAGGCAATGGATTTGGGACTAGTAGACAGAGCCAAAATTTTTATTAGGGGATGTAAAATATAAGAAGTAAATACATAAAAATAAAAAAAAATAAAAAAACCAAGGAGTTTTAACATCTATTATATATACTTAAAAATAAGTTTAATCTTGTATATAGTATTGAGATTTTCTGAGATATTTTTCGGGATCTTTCTCTTCCTATATCTCTACAGAGATCTTTTATATTATTTGATTTTTTTTGTTTACTTAGTTAAGAGATTGTGCAGTTGTAAGATATTTTATTTCCTAGTATTATTAGCTTCACAATATTATTAACAGAAAAAGGGCCTAAACTATCCTTATGGTTTGCTAAATGATTTGCAAATACCCTTCGTCCATCTATCTGTCCGAAAAAGCACACGACGTTAATTCTATTAACAAAAATACTCTCGTGTCTAACATCATAATTGGTGGGTCTTTTATTTAATGATGTGACGCTTTTTAACTGGGCCACATAGCATTATTGACCATGAATCAAACATGAGTCTTTTATTTTACCCATTTACGTGGTCCGCCCCTATGGTTTGTTACCAAGGTAAAAAAAATGCCCCATTTCCCCTTTTTTCTTCTTCTAGTCTTAAAATAACCGCCTTCAATTCACTCTCCTTCTTTATTATCTTCACTTCACTTGTCTCATTTCTCACTTCACAAACCACTTTTCCACCAGCATTGTCACCGATGCGATCCCTCTTCTCTCTCTTCCCTTCAATCCCTCCCTTTCCTCCAAAATCCCTAATTTCCCCTTCCAGCTCCTGTTACACCACAAGCTCAACTATTGATTTCCATTTTTTTTAATAAATAACATCAAAATCTTCGGGTCTTCAATTTAAGATAACGAGTATGTTGTCGTTTTTGCAATAGAAAATTTCTTCAGCCAAAGTTTCACCCACCATATTTCAAATCGAATCTTGAATTTCAAGTCGAATCCTCGGTGTATCACCAACAATTATTTTTTAAACATGAAGTGTCGTGTGTGTTATACTCATGAAGTGATTTAAATGAGTTGTTGAATAAGAACCAGATTGAGTTTGGAAATTATGTAATGGGCTTAGTTTGAATATTATAAGGGTTAAGGACGTTGGGTTTGTTAAGGGGATTGAAACTGCTATCTAGATTGTAAGGCCCCGTAAAATTTTACTAAAACCCGGGGTTTCGTGATGTTGAGGTAGGCTAATGTGTTTGATGATTGTCGAAATTCTTCGCGACGAGTAAGCTCGTTGCGGTATGGACTTTTTGGGTTGTGCAGTGTGTCCGGGAGTTGAAGGAAGAATTTTACAAAATAAGGTGTTTTTGTGGTCCACTATGCTACCGCAAAATCACTCTGCGGACTGCAGATCGGCCGCAGAGTGCAACTGGACTTGAGCCAATTTTGAAGACCATTATGCGGCTGCATAACTATTTTGCGGGCCGCACAATCCATCGCACAACCAGCATGAAGATTCTCAGAAGGTGATTTTGCGGCGCGTTATGCGACTACATAACTGGCTGCGGGCCGCATAATGGCCGCAGAGCTGACCAGGCTTGCCCAGTTTTTGGGACCATTTCTGTGGTCCCCTTTGCGGACTGCATACTCGTTTTGTGGTTCGGTCTGCGGCTGCAGACCCGGCTTTGTAAGTTTAAGTTTTGGAAAATTTTACCCGATCCCATTTTTATAAAAAGACTTTGGGGGTTATTTTAAAAGGTTCAAACTGCTATTTTAGAGAGAGGAAAATGCTCTAGAGTGAGAGGAGGAATCCCTAAGATTTCGTTCATCAATCTTTGCTCAAGTCTTAGAGGATTCACTAGGAAAAACTTGCAAAGTTATCTTCTATAGAGGTAAGGTTCTAGCCCCAGTCTTCAATTTCGATTTTGGGGTAGAAGATGGTTAATAGAAAGTGTGATTCTTGGGTATGAGAGCGTTATTTATGCATGCATGTACCAACAAGGTTTCTGGGAAAGTTGTTGAACTTAAATGGGTAAACATTAGGTTGTGGGATGAAGGAATCCACCATAGAAGAACCTTGAAATTTTAATGCACACCTAATGCTTGATAAAATGCTTAAATGTTCTAAACCCGCAGATATCTTCCTAATTGTGGTTCAATTTTGTTATGCCTCTAAATAGATTGAAGTTGATAGGATTTTCGGAGCATTGTAGTTATTTAAGGAAAGCTCAAAGCGAGGTATGTTGGCTAAACTTCTCTCTTAAAATTGAATCCCACAATATTTTCGTAAGTCTCACGTATAATGGGTCAAGTTCTTATTTCTCATGTCCGAATAAATTTTGTGTCGAAAGATATATGTTCAAAATGTATTTCTAATGCTCTTCTGATATTATGTTATCCTTCGGGAATGTGTTCAAACTATGAGTTGTGTATTAAAATGTTATGACTTCAAGTCGTGTTTCAAATGCAAGTTATTATGCCAAATTGTGGAAGAAAACTCAACGTGCTTAACACTCTTAATTTCTCATACGTGTACTTAAGGTCTTGATTAGAAATGCCTTTTTGTTGATAATCCATGATGATGTTGAAATTGAAAGGGGTGAGCATGAAATATACAATACGGCCAACGTGCCAAGAATGATATTGCATTTGTGACTACTAGTGCCAATGAAAAGAAAAGATGTATAAAAGATTATGAAATGAGCTGAAAATCCTTTATATAATAAAAATTTTGGGAGTATCGTTAGTCACCAAGGAAGGGTAGGTTGAAATAACCTAACCCCGAAACTACACATGCCGGTGTAGGAGTGATTGAGGGGTAAATCCCCGTACTAATGTATCACGACCCAAAACCCAGCCCGTCGTGATAGCGCCTATCATAGTACTAGACAAGCCGAAACTCCCAACATTGCCAACACTTAGAATCTTTGAAAAATACCAAAACAGTTTAAATAAAGGAGAAAACTCTTAAAACAAGATAGGAAATCATAACTCAATACATAAACTTTCCCCAAAACAGGGTGTCACCGAGTACACGAGCATCTACATAAAAATATAGTCTGAAAAGTAAAACTGATAAAAATAAACTACAAGATAAAGAAGGAGAGTCAAGGCCTGTAGACGCCAAGCAGCTACCTCGATGATCTCCGAAGGTTTGGTCTTTGCAAATCAGCAACCGCCGTGACTGAAAGCACCTGGATCTGCA